AAGCCATCTAGGAAACCAATCAAAAAAAAATTTTTCGTCTTTTAGGACTGAATGCAAGACAAATTTCAGCAACTTCGTATGATTATTTTACCAATACTGAGCTCTACGTACCTTTATATATTTAGTTCCCATGACACCAAGTGTCGCCATCTAGTGTCGAATATATTTAATTATATCTGAAATACGACGCAGAGATTTTATAGAACTATTTTAATAAATTTGGTACAAAATTACTTACAAATGAAAGTGATGCCACCCATAGCATCAGAGCTTCTATCTGATTAGTTTTTATACGATAAAACACAACACTTCATCCTTTTCTTCTTAATACTGCGAAAATACACCAATTAGCGATTTTTGACACATAAACGAACTGGACGAACGCTGACAGAATACTAACGTTAAAGCCACGCCCACTGTGATGACGTCAGGACCTAGTTAGAATCACAGTGCACAGTTGCTTAGGCCGTCTCCTCTTTGTATCTGCTCCGCGCTTATAACCATATACTTAGTACCATTACCATATACTTACTGGCGTATAGACGGACATTGTGTGCAAGGGAGATGAAAATTTCTTATGGCAAAAATGCAAGCTAGAAAAGGATACCAAATTACATGAATCCGAATTTGAATAACAGAATCTCATCAATTTTGAATGACAGGTCGGCACAAGTCGGTACGCAAGAAATAGACTATAGACCTAGACATTTTGTAATTTTTTTAGATTATAATAGTGTTTATGTTTATAATTCATTTTTCCATTATGTTTACATGTTAATTACGTTAACTGCAGCCGAAGGACCCAAAAAAAACCGAAACTAGTTTAAAATACTTTATTATAATATAAAAATTACAATATAATTACTATAAATAAAATATAAGTGATCAGATCGATGCTAGATCTAGAATGAATTTTAATTATTACAGTAAAAATAAGGTAAAGGTATATTGCAGAGCTCCGGTTGCATCCGTTGACGTCAATGCTCACGCTCTGCTGAGTTGCGCCTCGTGCCGCTGCAATGTATCGGGGTCGCTGCTGTGTAGGCTCTTTACCTATGAGGCTATGTTATAACTCCTCCACCCTCAGATCAGCAACTATTTTAGAACCTTGAGAGAAAAAATTGCTGGTAATGCCTTTTTGACTTCAGATTCTTCGGGCTTATCATAGCTATGTTGGGTGTTATTCTGGATCTGTTCTTGCTTCTTAGTCTTGTAGTAGTAACGAACTGAGATTATGATAGCGAATATTGCAATGCTTGATAACACGGCGTAAAAGGGAATAGTGGTGTGATATAAAGTTGGGAGATCCATCTCTCTCAGATGAAGTGGTGGTTGCATCATGAGTTGGTCCTGGGCTGCGTGGAGTCCTTTCAGGTTAATTGTATTAGGGCTGATTCGTGGTACTGCTGGGTTGTCTTTTGCGTTTATATCCATTAGTATTTTCATTAGTTTCAGTGGATGGCCTTCTACTTGATCGTTAATATTGGTGATGGTGAATTCTTGTGTTCGCAGGAAGCAATTAATTGGTATTGTAGCTAAGTAACTACCCTGTAATGTAGTAATATCTTCACGCCCTCATACTGTATGGACTTTAGTTGGTTGAGGGAAAGAGATGGTGTAGTGCTTGTCGTCAAGATGTTCCATGGCTTCTTTTGATAGTGCAATGTCGGTTATCTTACAGGATTTTGCTATAGACTGATTGATGATGAGGTTCTGGATACAGTCGGATTGTGTTCGAATTTGGGTGTTCGTTTCCTTTTCGCATAGGTACCGATTACTCAACTTCGGACATTCTGTCTCCATGTACACGAATTTTTCTCTATTTGTTGCTATTAAAGGATAGGATGGAATAATAGATTGGTGGTTTTTGTTAGGTACAATGGATAAGCGGAATAGGTCAAAGGTGTCTTTGGAAATAACAGGGAATTTTAGAACAATTACTATTTGATTTTCTGTAAAATAATAACCTGACTTAATGATATCGTAATATTCTCTAGTCTCTAAATTTAATACATGTTCCTTATCATAAATTTGTCTTAATCTTACTAACATAGACTTAATTACCTTAACACTTAACGTAGAATGGTGGGTGCTCGATGCACGACTAAATGCTAATATATTTTCTATCCTATTAAGCTCATTGAGCATATCATCAATATTTTCTGTTAAAATTGTTAGTAGTTTGGCAAACTTAGCATACTTGATGAGGCTACTGTCTTTATAAGCGGCTCTATCTAGTAATTGGATAAGCGTTGAGTTAATTTTGTTCTCGTTTTCAATTATCTGGGATATCACACTATTATGTTGTAACATCCATTCTTTCCTAATGCTAATGTGACTATTGAATTCAGATTCGATCCTATCTTGGTTATCCTTCAAAACTTTTATGGCATTGTTATATTTCGCGGCATCTAAATAATCTAGATTACCGGTTACGCTTTTGATCACTGAGCCTTATCCGTCTACTAGACCTCTCTTAGTGCGACTAGGCTCTAAGCTATTTAGTTGTAATAATACTTTGTCTAGTTTGCTAGAAAGTTAGTCCATTTGTAATTCGTACAGTAAGTTGGTGTCATTATCAAGTCTGTTCTTGTAGTTCTGTAGCTGTTCCTGCAATAAGGTTACTTTGTCTCTGATGTCGTCAAGTTTTACATATTGAAGAAATGTATGATAGTGAGTTATGAGAGTCGTTGGTCCAAGTCTAAATGGTAGTAGGCCTGGTCCGTCTTCAAGATATTCAAGTTTTATCTCCTGGGCTTCGATCGTCAGCACGGTTAGTACAGTCAGCAATTTTAGAGTTCTGTAACAAATCGGCAGTTTTAGGTACACGTTTAAGTCTAGACTTCCCTATCGGACCGCGTTTCCTAGACGTGTAAATGTGTATTGGTAAGTCAGCTAGAACATGATCATGGGTGTAACGTGGGGCTAATTTTTGTCGGCTAGCTAGGGGGTTGGAAACGAAAACTTGTTGGTTTGGTTGGTATTCAACCTCTGGTTCCCGTGATTTATTCCGATTATTTATTAATGCTGAACGTTCGGAGAAAGAATGTTCGTTAATTATTTCATACACTGTTTTCATTCGATCTCGGTGTGTTAGTATGTATTGCTGCAGTAAATGTTTTGTCAAGTCGATGTCGATTGGATCTTTTGGGTTGAAATGTCCATTGACAATATCGTAAGGCCTACATTTAGTGAAACTATGTACAGAACTATTGTATCCTAGGATAGCATGGGGCATTAGATTTACTACATGCTCGTCTTTCTTTTGTAGTTTTAGGATTCGCAGATGTTCCAGTATAGTCGAGTGGAACCGCTCTATGTTACCGTTGTCGTTGGGACAGTGGGCTAACGTTCTATGATGGTTAATTTTGTGTAATTGTACGAACTCAGTAAATAGCTGGTTCGTAAATTCGGTCCCATTGTCGGTGACAATAGAAAGAGGAAGACCATGATGCGTACAGAAGGTAAGTAGGCTTTGTAAAATGCTCAATGCTGTTCCGTCTCTTAAATGATACGCTTGAGCATATTTGGAGAATACGTCTATAAATGTGAGATACTTTTCATTATGTACTGTGAACATGTCCATATGGATAATCTCGAAAGGTTTGGTAGCGGGGGGAACGATATTGAATTGAGGTTTTAGAGGTTTTCTATCGTACTTAGCCTGACCATATATGGTACATTCATTAACATATTTCGTAATGTGTTCCCTCATTTTGGGCCAATAGTATCGTTTGGAAAGGGCCAGGAAACTCTCGTTGATACCACGATGGTTAGTTTTACCTTCGTGGTAGTTCTTTATTATTTCTTGTTGTTGCAAATATTCTTTTATATTTTCGACCTCAACTTTAGTTAATACTAGATTCATAGACGAGCTTCTGAATTTATCTTGTAAGATTGGAATGACGTCATACATGCAAAGAGGGGGGTTAATTAATAATCCGGTTTTGACTTTTGGGTTAACGTATTCTTTTATGGCGTTGACAAGGTCTACTTCCATTTCCGGTTGTCTTATCTGTACAGCTGTTCGAGTATGTGTATCAAAAGGTTTGGTCACTATTGGTCGTCTTTTTATGTCGCCTACAATTGTTAATATTAGTTGTCTGTGAAATTTATTAAGAGGTTCGTCGGTAATAGGAATTTCAAGGATCGGATTTTCTTGGCTTGTGTGGGCCGTTTGAGTAGTCGAGCCAGTGCTAGGGGCTGTTTTTACTGATGGGTTAGCTAACATAGAACACGATTCTTCGTTATGTATTTCCACCCGGGGAAGCACATCGGCATTGGTGTTATTTTTTCCTTTTTTATATATGACAGAAAAATCGTATTCGCTTAATTTTAATTTCCACCTAGTAAGGCGCGAGTTCGGTTCCTTAAGATTCATTAACCACTGAAGGGGTTTAAGATCAGTTAAGATTTTAAAAGTACGGCCAAATAGGTAGGGTCTAAAGTACTTGGTTGCCCACACAATGGCAAGGAGTTCTTTCTCTATAGTGCTGTAGTTCACTTCGCTCTCATTTAGAGTTCTAGAAGCGTAACATACAGCTTTGTCTGATCCTATGGGTCCCTGAGATAGGATGGCTCCTATCGCTACATTGGATGCGTCAGTGGTCAGGATGAATTCTTTGTTGAAGTCAGGATATTGAAGGATTGGGTCGTTAGTCAAGAGAGTCTTGCACTTTTCGAAGCAGTTAATATAGTCTGTGTCAAGAGTTATTTTTCGTCCCTTTTTTAGACATTGTGTCAGAGGTTTAGTAATTCGAGCAAAGTCTGGGATGAACTTCCGATAATAACCTATAAGGCCTAAAAACTGTTTAATCTCTTTTGCGGTTTTGGGTAATGGATACTTTTCTATGGCTGATATTTTACTAGGATTTGGCTTAATGCCATCTTTACTAATTATATGTCCTAAATAAGCGGTTTCCAATTTAAGAAACTCGGATTTATCCATTTGTATTTTAAAGTTGGAACACATGGTAAATCTTGAGAAAGTATTTCAGAAACTACGGGAATAGTTTCTGAAATACTTTCTCAAGATTTACCATGTGTTCTTGCAAGGAAGTGCTGAACACAATAATATCGTCTAAGTACACGAGACAAACTGTATTTTGGAGGTCACGGAGCACGTTATCCATGACACGCTGAAACGTGGATGGCGAGTTCTTCAGGCCCATGGGCATCCGTAAGAACTCGAAATACCCATGTTCAACGTTGAATGCTGTTTTCGGTATGTCACTAGGGTTCATTTCGACCTGGTAAAATCCATTGGCTAAATGCAAGGTTGTGAAATATTGGCAATTTCCTAACTTATCTAGTACATCCGATATATTCGGTATTGGGTATTTATCACTAATGGTTTTTTCATTTAGCTTCCTAAAGTCGACTACGAGTCGCCATTTAGTCTTGCCAGAAGCATCCACTTTTTTAGAAACTATCCAGATGGGAGAGCTCCATGCAGATTCGGACGGACGAATTATACCTTGCTCTAACATTTTACTGATTTGTTGTTTAACTTCGTCTCTATGAACGTAAGGGTACCGATAGCTTTTAGTATATATCGGTATCTCATCAGTGGTCCGGATGCTATGCTTTATTTTATTAGTAAATGTGAGCTGTTCGCCTTCTATATAAAAAACGTCGGCGTATTTGGCACATAATCTTTCTAAATTAGCGCGTTCTTCGGCATTTAGATGGTCGGTGCGTAAACGTGATAATACTTCTTTGTAATGTGGGAGTGGTTGAACGTTGTGAGAGGACTCGATGTTATACGTCTCAGCACATATTGGACGATCTAGGGAGAAAATTATATCGTGCGGAGTCGGGTTAAATACCTCTATAATACCGCGGTTATTTGACACTAATGTTAGACATTCGTTTATCACGCAATTAGAGATGTATTGTTCGCTAACTAAGGCTTCTCCGTCATGGACATTAATAGGTACTTTTATTAATTTTGAAGATTGGGATGGTATCACGTCCTCGTAAAAATTAACATTTCTAGAGTTATACATTAAGATGGGATTGTAAGCTAATCGTGTTACAAGTAATCTATCCTTTAGATCTATTCTAGCTTCCCATTTCTCTAATAGGTCGAGACCAATAAGGCCATCGAAGTAATCGTGAAATTTATAAATATATAATTTAATACTATCAGGCTCTTGGAATTCGGAAAAGCATGGAATAGTTATCGAATAATTATTCCTAGTTGTAGCATGCACATTCGTTACCTCAAAAGGATCATAATTTAAAGGTATATGTGAAAAATATTTTTGTATAGCTTCCGGATTAATGAAGGGCTGATTCGCTCCGGTATCGATTAGAAATTTTAACGGAGGGTTAGAAATACATATGTATGGTAGCTGTCTCTGCGTATGTAAGTTAACTTCTATTTTGGCTTTTTGAAAAACGAGTTTTTTGAAAATCCTGAGGCGAACTGCTTGTAGAAGGTTGGCAGTCTATGTTATCTTGTTCGTTTATCTCAGTTGAGTCATGGTATTGGTAATGCTGTGTGTCGTCATAGTCATAGGTCACAGTATTGGTATAGTCGTCATTATCATTATAGTCGTAATAGTCGTATTGGTGTTCAGGATAATAGTAACTATCGTAATCAGCACATTCGTTAAAATTCATTTCCCTACTTTTGAAGTAATTTGAAGGCGGCGGGTTACCGTATTTGCGCCAATCATGACCGGTCAGACCTGTCGGAGGCATAGGTTTAGGTACGTAATGGCTAACCCCACTCATAGGTTTCGGACCTGAGTCATGGGGTGGATTCCTATTTGGTAATCTAAACGTATTACTATGGGGTTTATAATTAGGTGGCAAAGCGCGGAACATTTGTTGAGTTCTCGTAGGCATGTTATACTCTGGTGGCACGTTAGGCCTAAAACCTTGCTGCTGTGGTACATTTAAAGGTCGCTGTAAATTGGGCATTGGTATCGGTGCTAGAAAACTGAATGGTTTTTGCAAACGTAAGGTCATGTAGCTAGGTTGGAGAGGCTTAGGTGCTTGAGGTTTCCTCTCGGCGAAAGGTTCACCGCGTTGTTGCAAGTACATAACATTCAGTTCTTCCTGTACAAACTCCAAGGCTTTTTCAACGGTATCAGGACGCATGCAACGTATTCGTGAGCCCAGTGGCTCCTTTAAACCGCGCACGAAAGCTTGTTTCGTTAGATTCTTATATAATACACGTTTGGCTTCTATTGTAGTAGGCAAGGTTTAATGAAGCGTAACATACGTCATGATAGTGCTGAACAGTGTCTGACATCGTGCATAAAATTCTTGGGGAGAGCTGTTCCCCTGAGTAGCTAATGAGAGGTCATTATAGAGCGCCGTTTCGTCTCTTTGGTCCGAAAAGTTATTGATTAAAGCTGTACAAATGCCATGCCAGCTTTCAGAAATACCATTTGAATTTAAAGTAGCCGCGGCGGGTCCAGTTATTTTATTTAATATACCGTTAAACAAGCATAAGTTCGATAGTTCACTGCCAGGTTCATTACTTAGATATGTAGCACATATTTGGTCACATAATTTTATAAACCTAGTTAGTACATTAGGATTACCGTCAAACTCTGGCACTGGGCGTAAAACTTTGAAAATAGTGTCAGGGTCGTGGGCCATTTTTGATTCCTCGGTAATTATATCTAACTCTAAATAACAACTTAAATCTCTATTATAGTCTAAACTTTCTCTACGTGGCTGCCTACGCGATGTAGGGTCACTGTGGGATGATTTCCTTGGATAGAAAATTTTGACAGGAAAGATTTACACTAGGAAAAGGAAAGCAACACTAGATAAAATTCTGGTGTACTTACATAAATTTCATCTCGGTTTTCTCGGGATCGATCTCTTGATGTAACCTCTTGGCTTGCAGTTGACCCGTAGTAGATTCGAATACTCGTTTAAAGCTTGAAAGCTACGATAGTCTAACTAACTTTTGAGTATCCTACCGACTGCGCCAATTACGTTAACTGCAGCCGAAGGACCCAAAAAAAAACCGAAACTAGTTTAAAATACTTTATTATAATATAAAAATTACAATATAATTACTATAACTAAAATATAAGTGAATCAGATCGATGCTAGATCTAGAATGAATTTTAATTATTACAGTAAAAATAAGGTAAAGGTATATTGCAGAGCTCCGGTTGCATCCGTTGACGTCAATGCTCACGTTATGCTGAGTTGCGCCTCGTGCCGCTGCAATGTATCGGGGTCGCTGCTGTGTAGGCTCTTTACCTATGAGGCTATGTTATAACTTGTTCCATGAGTATCTGTGGTGTCAATAATAGAAATAATCATGATAATTGCACATTTCATAAGTAAATTCGCAAGACGTCGTTACTGTTATGACGCGTCTATTTTTGGTAATTTATGTTTTACACTTTTTAAATTATGGAATATTTATGATTTTGGTGATTTAATTTTTAAACAGAATATTTTACGTGTACGCTAGGGATTGACCCAATCATATCAAAATTAATGTCGATATTTATCTTGAATGTTTGTAATCAATCGATAGACTTGCCACATAACAAGAAGAGGAATGAAAATATACTCGATTTGCGTTTTAAAAACATAATTTTATTTTGCAGTTTCCAAACAGGTTCCCTCTCGATTCTTTGGTTAGAAAAAGATGTTTGGAATTAATTGGGCGAGTTGGTTGGAATCCAAAGAAGATCTGTACAATTTTCAGCAAACATGTTCTTGAGAAATATAAAAGAAAAAGTGGAATAAAAACAATTTTATTAAAAGTTTAAAGTTTAGGAGCCATTCCTTCATAATTTGTACCAGTAAGTGTAATAAGACTTCAAAAAGTTTACTTCAAAAACTTTAGATAAAAATAGAGATAGATTTATATACATTATAAAACTGTAGTATATTAAAAATAAAAAATTGAGATTATCCTATTTAAGTTATAATGAATCCAGCTATCAAATATCTTTTTTTTACGGGGGGAAATCCTCATGGACTACCTCCGCCTGGGAAAGGCGGAGGGGCGTGCCGGACTCTTACCGGCTAAAACCACCACGGTGTCTTCTCGCGCGGCTCCGCGGGAATCCAAACGGAAGCGAGGCCGGCGGTAGGGCGCAGAAGCCATTGCCGCCATTCCGCCACCAAGACCTGACGGAGCTCCTCTCGGCGCAGCGCGATCTGCCGCTGCACCGGCCTCGAGCCCCGTTGCTGCTCTTCCTCGCGCCATCGATATAATGACGCGAGTACTTGCGCCTCTAGGTCCCAGGGCGGGGATCCAGCCAGGACGCAAGCCGCTTCGAAGGAAATCGTGCGATATCCGCGGACCACTCTGACGGCCATCGCCCTTTGCGGTTTGCGCAGAATGGCGAGAGTACTGGCCGTCATGTCCATAACCCACACAGGGGCCCCATACAGGGCCATGGACCGCACGATAGCTATCAACTATCTAGTCTAACTTCTAAGCTCGAAGTTGTTTACGAGTATGTTTACCTGGGACAAATAGTCCGACTAGGTAAGTCCAACTTCGACCGAGAAGTCAATCGACGGATTCAACTCGGCTGGGCAGCGTTCGGGAAACTACGACACATCTTCTCGTTAGACATACCTCAAAACCTTAAAGCGAAATTATACAACCAGTGCGTGTTGCCAGTGATGACCTACGGATCTGAGACGTGGTCCTTCACTGCTGGCCGTATGAGGAAGCTCAAGGTCGCTCAGCGAGCTATGGAGAGGGCTATGCTCGGGGTTTCTCTGCGTGATAAACTTAGAAATGAGAATATCCGCATTAAAACCAGAGTAACCGACATAGCCCAACGGATTAGTAAGCTGAAGTGGCAGTGGGCCAGCCATATAGCTCGAAGAACCGACAACCGATGGGGAAGAAGGGTTCTCGAGTGGCGGCCTCGTACCTGTAGTGGAAGTGTAGGGCGAGCTCCCACTAGATGGAGTGACGACCTGGTAAGACATGGAGGAAGTCGATGGATGCAGGTGGCTCAGGACCGTGGTTTATGGCATTCCTTGGGGGAGGCCTATGTTCAGCAGTGGACTTGTGAAAGGCTGTAATGATGATGATCAACTATCTATTAATCAAACAAAATATATAACCTTACTTCACCACCCGCACCTCACGGCGCACTAGTATAATATTCATAGTGTAACGCTCCTTTTCCTTTATTTCTTTAAAATGTATCTAATTTACGTGACCATATATTGATCTTTATAAACATCACAAAAATTGACCCATGTCGCGCATGTCAATGCGTGTAAACGCTATACAAACGATCAAATCCAACTACAGTAAATGTACATCTCACGGATTAGGCAATAATAGGCACACTAGCCATAAAAAGCCCACCGTGAGCGCCACCACCTGCCAGACTGCCGTTCCTGTAGACATGATGTGAGTGTAAGGCATCACCACCAATTGCATGATCAACACGGTTAATTAGCCGCAGAGTGTGGCATGAGTCTACCCCTCACCTGAAGGGAATGTGGTCCCACTTTCATCTTCAGTTTT